GGCTCAGGTCTCCTTTGATGGAAAATGTGAACCGAGAGGCCCAAGCAAATTTCCCGCTGTTCAGCTCTTGGACTGCATGCAATTTTTTGAGGGAAGAAAGTGAAGTTTTGCCCCCACAGGGGTCCAGTCCTGTGACCCTGGGATCATGACCCGAACTGAAATCAAGAGTCAGACACTCAACTGATTGAGCCACCCAGGTGTCCCTACTGTTTTGGTTGTTTTTCTGCTTACTTTGTCACTTAAAAGAGGCATGTTAAAATCTCCTACTATGGTTGTGGATGTATTTTTTAAAATTTCTGTCCACTTTTGGGGCACCTGGGTGGCTCAGTCAGTAAAGCATCCGACTTCAACTCAGGTCATGATCTCACAGTTCCTGGGTTCGAGCCCCCCGTAGGGCTCTGTGCTAACAGCTTGGAGCCTGGAGCTGCTTCAGATTCTGTGTCTCCCTCTCTCTGCCCCTCCCCCACTCACACTCTGTGTCTCTCTCTCTCTCGCTCAAAAATAAACATTAAAATGTTTTAAATAAATTTGTTCACCTTTCAAATTATTATATATTTAAAGTGTACAATTTAGTGGTTTTTAATATGTTCACAAAGTGGTGCAATCATTACCACTCTGCTTTTATCCCTCCTCTAAAGAAACCTCATTCGCCTTAGCAGTCACCCCCCACTCACCCTTTCCTGACCTCCCTGCAGCCCCTGGCAACCACTAATCTACATTGTGCTTATAGATTTGCCTCTTCTGGACATATTTCTGTTCATTTTTGTTTTGTTTCTTTTTAATTTATGTATTTATTTTCAGAGAGAGAGAGAGAGAGAGAGTGCACAAGTGTGGAAGGGGCAGAGAGAGAGAGGGAGATGGAGAATCCCAGGAAGGCTCCTCGCCACCAGTGCAGAGCCCAAGGTGGGGCTCAAACCCAATGAGATCATGACCTGAACTGAAGTCAGGCACTTAGCCCACTGAGCTACCCAGGCGCCCCTCCCTTTTGCTTTATATACTTTGAGGCTAAGTTACTAGGTATGCACAAATTGAAAATCACATTTTCTTGGTGAACTGAACTTTTTATCATCACGGAGTGATCTCTGCCTTGAAGTCTATTTTATCTTACATTCGTATAACTACACCAGCTTTCCTTTGGTTAGTGTTTGCACAGTACATCGTTTCTCAGCCTTTTACTTTCGACTTTTCCCAGAGAGGTCTCTTAGAAACAACATACAGTTGAACTTTTCAAATCCTTTTTGAGAGTCTTTATCTAGAACTTTTAGTCCATTTACATTTAATGTAACCTCCAGTATAACTGGTTTAAATCTCCTATCCTATAATCTACTCCTTTTCTGCTTTGTGCGTTACACTTGCTCAGTTTGTTTTTCATTCAAAGGAATGAGTGTGTACTATTGTGCCACTGTGATATTGTAATATGATAAGAAAAAATATATTTACACATACAATGTAATTATAATATAATATATGTAATGTAATTATAACATTATATATTCTATATAACTTATGAATATAAGTGCTAAGCACTCTACATATATACATATGATGTACATATGCCACATATATATGATATATGTATACATGATATATATATATTTGGTCTTTGACCCTAGTTCTTGGCACAGAGTTCCTAAAACTTGTGAATTCCTGAAAGAGGGGAGAGGAGTGTCTTTCCTTGTCATAAGCCCTTTCCACCATATCTGAGTTTATGACAAGAGGTGACTCTTGGTGACCCCCCCTAGATGGTTTCAGGATGGAATCTGGTTGCCAGAGGAACCAACTATGTAATTAGTGATTAGGAAGGAGAAGAGCTGGTGACAGACCTAATCACAAAGCGAATCACCAATGGCCGATGATTTAATCACGCATCCCTACCTAACGGCACCTCCGTCAGTCGCTGGTGCTGAGAAAGCTTCCGGTTGATGAATATATCCACGTGCACGAACGGTGATGCACCCCAACTCCACTGGGACAGAACTCTGAGCCTGGAACCCTTCCACACCTCACCCTAGGTACCCTTCTTCATCTGGCTATTCATCTGTGTTCTTTATAATATCCTTTGTATCCTTTACAAACCAGTAATAGTGTGTCTCTGTCTCCACTCTGTGGAGTCTGATGCTAACTCCGGGGTACCTAGTGCCACAACTAAATTAGATCACAGGACACACAACTGGTGCCTGGAAAATTGGTGGCTGTGGGGAAAAACACCCCACACACCTGGGTCAGAGTGTTGTATGTAGAATACATGAGTTTACAAAGGGTCAGTGAATGAGCAGTGTTCTGTCTGGAACTGTTAGTGCCTCGGCACTAGAATATCACAGTGGCCCAATCTCTGGGGCTGGGCAGGATCCCTATTTGGTGGCCTGAGATCAAGGGGTCCTAGGGAGGTACGAGCCTTCTTTCCGGGGGGACTGATTTCAGCAGACTCAGGCTCCAGTCCTGACTCTGCCACTAACCTGCTGCACGGCCCCTCTCTCAGCCTCAATTTTTCTCATTTGTTCACTAAGGATGTTGGACTAGATAAGACAGATTCAGTAGTAACCGCTAACACTTGCCGTGTTTATGTACCAGATACTATTCTAAACAAACTACAGATATTAATTCATTGAATCCTCACAACAACCTGACGAGTGACAGACAGTAGTTCACATGGAGAGCAGCTTAGGCACACGAAGGTGAAGTGACTTGATCAAAGTCACTCAGGAGGTAAGTATTGGGTTAGGATTCACACCTGGACAGTCTGGCTCTGGAGCCAATCCTTAGAACCATGAAGACTTTTGCTTTCATTGCACAAAACGCATGTCAACACGGGAAACCCAAAGAAAACAGAATTTCAGCACGTGGACCAAAACGTCCTCTTTTCTCACCCCCTGCGGTCCTTATCAGGGTGCTGTGGCTGTAATCTCACAGAGGTGTGACTACGGTTCTGAACTTGCAGCCCCCATGCAAGCCCATCTCTCACCCCACCAGCAGGGGCAGGCAGGGGGCTTGTGTGGGTCCCCAGGGAGTTTTCTTCAAGCAGAAGAGAGAGTCTGCGATTCTGGGGACAACAGACAGCCTCTGATCAGGAAGGAGGATGCTGGGGAGAATCGAGCTCATGCAGCCCACGGGGGCCCAGACCAAATCCCATGTCTGTCTTTGTGGCCCCGAAAGCAGCAGGGGCCTGGAGTGAAGGTTCTAGATCACTGCTTGCAGGATGAGTGACACAGTTCAGGGGCTCCAGTGCCATTCAGATCTGGTTCACCATCCTCAGTTGCTCATTGTTCAATGTGTGCCCGTGGTTAAGAGTCCAATCTCTTCCCCGCACAATTTTCTAAAACCCAAACTGCTGGGAGCCGCACTGGCCTCTATGGATGGCAGTCACAGCAAGGAAATGGCAGTGTTTGCACAGCTACTGCCATGAGAAATGAAAACTGGTATCTCCTGCTACTACTGGCTCTTGTTGTGCTGGTATTGACCAGGCCTCACAATATTCCATATCAGATCTATATTCTGAACACAGATACCTCATAAGGAAAAGCATATTCCTGCCTTTACAAGAGAGATTTTAGATGAAAGCTCTGTGGATGATTGTCAAAAGGCTCTTCCTAAGGGCCTTGCAGATCCAAGACTTAGGGGGTTAAGAACACAAGAGTTACAACTGAGCCTGGCCCCGAGACGAAGAGCCTAATTTAGAGTTAAGGTACAGATAAGGGCAGAACTTAAGTTAATACACCTTCTAATTGGTGATGGATGGCAGTCCCTTCCCCAAGGCCTGCTTTCTGCAAACACCCTCCCTTACAGGTAGCTGGGATGAGGATGGATAAGAGTAGCTAAAGCATTACCCACAAACAAAAGGCTGACACTTTTAGGGCCTGCATGGTGTTCACACATTCAGCATCAAATAGGTTTCCACAAACAACTTATTAACCAACTCAAAAACATACATTTGAGAATCAGACAGAATGACTCTTAGCCCATCTATACACTTAACCTATGACCTAACCTTAGCGTTATTAACTTAGAACAAATATGTATCCTGTCTTTTACTAAGAATACCCTAATTCTCTAGTTATAAGATTTACTTAACCTCACTATAATTGCAATAGTTCTGCAAGAATATTTCTGTAAAACCTGCTTCTGTACACTTTCCAAAGCATCTTATCACAAAGATTTATCCATTGTAAAAATTCCTTTTTCTGATGTCATGTTATCATTTAACCTGTAAATAAAGACACCAAAACCGACAGGACAGAGATGCCTGCCTGGTGATCAGAAAGGATCTCGGGGCTCTCTCATTCTCTTTCGCCGACACCGTCCATCCTTCAGGGACCCCTGGACCTGTCGGAGCCGGCGCGGCCTCCGGCACCAAACCTTGGTCTCTAAGGGGCTATGCGATCTGACCCCTGCTGACCCCTCTGACCTCGTCTTTAACCACCTTTGTTCTCCATCATCTTCTCCCTTGACAATGGCCCTCCGGGTTTTATAGAACTCATACCCCAGGACCTTTGAACTTGCTTCTCTCCCAAGATATTTGCATTGCTCACTCTATCCCTTCGTTACGGCTCCAGTGTCACCTTGCCAGAGGCCTTCCTTGGCCACTGCATATAAAGAAGCCCCCCACCGAGGGTACCTCTATCACACCCCCTGGGTTCTTCCAGAGGACTGGTCACCACCTGGAACCACAGAAATCATCCAGCGTCTCTGCCCTAGAACACAAGCTTCACAAGGCAAGGGCTTTGTCTTGTCCACTGCGCGTCCCCCATGCCGAGAACGGAGCCCCCAGAGGGAGGAACCCATGACATTCCGCTGAACGAGCCTCAGTTTCACCTTCTGTAAAGTAGGCCTACGCGCCCTCTCCCAGGCAGTGACAGGAACCACACGAGACGAAAGGCCCCGGGACCTAGCACGTGCCCGCCCTCGCTCAGGGACGGTCACCGCGAGTGTTCAGGAGGAGGACGGCGATCACGGTGGGAGCAGCCTTCCCGACCCCCCCCCCCCCCCGCCGGGCCCCCTCCTACCTTCGTGCTTCTGGAACTCCTCCTCTGAGAAGCCGGCGTCTTTGTGCGAGAGGTTGGTCAGCAGCTGCTTGTTTTCCTCCTGCAGCTGGGCGATCTGAGACAGCAGGTCCTGCGCCTCCCCCCGCCACACGTCCTCCACCAGCTCCAGCTCCTGCAAAGGCGACGGGCCCGGCGCTGGATCACAGCCTGCCCGGGGCGGCGGCCTCACCCCACGTCCCCGGCCCCGTGAGGGCTGGCGCACCACGAACGAAGGCGGCCACTAGTCCACGTGGCGACTTCGCAACAGACAGAAGGTGCCCTCCCCCCAGCAAGGCCCGCATTTGTGCTGTTAGGACCCAGCCGGCCACAACTATACTTCGTAACTATCTAGACAGACGGGGAGCACATGAGCAGCCCCGGGGCCATGGGGGCCTATCACCCTCAACCTCCCTGGGGAGCGCACGGCCCTGACCTGTGGGCGGACCCTGTGTGAGGACTCCCCTCTCTCCAAGGGAGAAAGAGGCTGCGAAGACCCCTGGGGACGCCCCCTGGCCCCAGCGCTCCTTGTATATCTGATACAGGCGTCTCTTCAAGCTGTCTTGGGCACCAAACTTGGTCTGAGCCTCAGTTTCCCTTACTGGGGGAGCCATATAAAGACTTGCAGGGTTGACTTGAGGATAACTACGATCAGTCTATTAACGTTATTTTGGGGGGGGGCTGTAATCAAAGAAACAGATGATCAGCGTTGACAAGGATGTGAGAAAGCTGGAGGCCTCGGCCTTGCTGGTGAGCATGGAGACGGTGCGGTCACTGTCGGAAACCGTCCAACCGCCCCGAGGAAGTGACACAGGTACCATGTGACCAGCAACTCCAATCCAAGGATCTGCCCAAGAGAAATGAAAACCAGGAGGCGCCTGAGGGGCTCAGTCGGTTGAACATCAAACTTCAGCTCAGGTCATGATCTCGTGGTTCGTGGGTTCAAACCCCACGTCGGGCTCTGTGCTGACAGCTCAGAGCCTGGAGCTGCTTCAGATCCTGTGTCTCCATCTCTCTGCTCCTCCCCTGCTTGCCCTCCGTCTCTCTCTCTCTCTTGAAAATAAACAAATATTTAAAAAGAGAGAGAGAAATGAACACCTGTGTCCACACAAAGAGCTGCATGTGAATATTCACAGCAGCATCCTCCACAAGGGCCAATGGGCGGAAACAACCGAAAAGTCCATCAGTTGAAGAAAACATGCAGGACCTTGAAAACACGCCGCTAAGTGAAGGGGGTCAGGTCCCACAGGGTACAATTCCACTGATGGGAAGCACCCAGAAGAGGTAAATCCACAGAGACGGAAAGCAGACTGGCACTTGGCTGCAGGGCCTGTGCAGAAACGAGGAGTGACTGACCACACGTGGGTATGGGTTTTCTTCTTTTTTTAAAAAATTTTAAATGTTTTATTTATTTCTGAGAGAGAGAGAGAGAGAGAGAGCGTGAGCAGGGGAGGGTCAGAGAGAGAGGGAGTCACAGAATCCAAATCAGGCTCCAGGCTCTGAGCTGTCAGCACAGAGCCCGACGCGGGCCTCGAACCCACGAACCGTGAGATCATGACCTGAGCAGAAGTCGGACTCTTAACCGACTGAGCCACCCAGGCGCCCTGGGGTTTTCTTTTCAAAGTAATGAAAATGTTCTAAAATTGACTCAGTGCCAGTCACATAGTTCTGTGAATAGACCCAAGACCACAGAATTATACACTTTAAATAGGTGAACTAGGGGCGCCTGGGTGCCTCAGTCAGTTGAGCATCCGACTCAGGATGCTCGAGAAGTTACTGCATCTTCGGGTGCCTTGGAAATGCGGAAACTAGTGTCGTATCTACCTCCGAGGGCTGTCCTGAGGATGATGTCAATGGTTGGAACGGTGCCCAGGTCCCAGAAAATGCTAAAGATGTGTTTGCCAGTGTCTGTCCCTCCTACAGCCTGTCACAAGCCGGCCCAGGTGGCCGGATAAACACGGCCTCCGTTCATCTTTTAAATACATTCCTAAATCCCCGTCTCCTTTGTCAGGAAGCCCGCTGCACTGGGGAAACGAGAGGTAATAACTAAGTATTCGCACAGCTGGTTCAAGGTCGCCAGGGGGGTGAAGGGCAGGGCCAGAGGGGGGAGGCAGTGGTGGGATGATGGAGCGCTCATGGCCTTCCCACGCGCAGGTGTGGGCTGGAAACAGAGGCAGCTGCTTCTGGCTGTTTCTTCTCTGCTCCCATCTGGCCCCGGCGAGCACAGAGGGTCCCGGTTGGCAACGGTCAAGTGTAAGTGACTGCGGTGGGCAGAACAGTGGTCCCCAAAGACGTGCGCATCCCAGTCCCTGGAACCTAAGACGATGTCCTCAGGTAGCAAAGGACTTGGGCAGGTGTTATTCAGTTAAGGACTCTGTGACGGGGACTCTCCTGGGTTACCGCGGTGGGCCCAATGCGATCAGAGCATCCTCATGAGCGAAAGAGGGAGACAGGGGAGGGTCAGAGTCAGAGATGATGTGGCGACAGAAGTCAGAGCTAGAGATTTGAAAATAGTACTCTGTTGGCTGTGAAGATGAAGGAAGGAGCCAAAAACGAAGAAATACGGGTGGCCTCCAGCTAGAAGTGGATTCTCCCTCAGAGTTGCCAGAAGGAATGAATTTCCTGACACCGTGACGTTAACGCCGCGAAACCCATGTCTGATTTCTGACCTCCAGAGTTTTATCCAGTATTATCCACATTGATATGACCGGAGCAGATCTGTGGTGCCTCGAGCCAGTAAGTTTGTGGTAATTTGTTATAGCAGCAATAGGAGATGAATACAGACTTTAAGCTTCAGGGATTTTTTTTCCCTTCCCTCAAAGGGGGGGTAGGGTGGGACGTGGTTCTTGCCGCTGAGCTGATCGCAGCAAATTTAATCTTGCCTCCATACCAGCTAAAAGGCTCTTCCAGGGAGTTACCCCTGATTAATTACCCTCTTTGCCTTCTCAGCACTAACAGTCTTCAGACTCCTTATGTGGGCCTATGAAGCCCAGCATAATCCCTGACCTCATCTCCCACCCGTATTCCTTACTCACTCTGTTCTAACCATACTGGCCTTCTTTGTGTTCCGTAAGCACACCAAGCCCATTCCTACCACAGTGCCTTTGCACTTGTGGTGTCTGCCTAGAATGCCCCTCCCCCAGCTCTCTCTGTGGAGGGTACCCACACTTTATTCAGATCTCAGCTCAGAGGCCACCTCCTCAGGGAAGCCTTCCTGACGGCCCCATCCTAGCCAGTCTCTTTCATATCTCTCTGTTTTATTTTCTTCATGGCACTTATCATAAGCTGAAATTTTTTAAACTTTAAAAAATATCTATCTCCTTACTCTAGAATTGCACCATCCAATAGCGTAGCCACAAGCCACATGAAGCTGCGGAGCACTTGATCTGTGGCTGGTCTGAACTAGCACATGCAGTAGGCTTCAACATACGCCACACTTCAAAGACATAGGGGGAAAAATGCAAAATATCCATTTAGTAATTTTTTTGGGTAACTGGAGGTTACCCAAAAGGATGGATGATGTGAGGTGATGGAAGGTAAATTTCACAATATTCGTAAATATCAAATCGTGATGCTGTACACCTGGGAGTGCCTGGGGGGCTCCGTTGGTTGGGCGTCCAACTCTTGATTTCGGCTCAGGTCGTGATCTGGCATTTGGCGGGATCGAGCCCTGCATCAGGCTCTGCATCTGCACTCAGGAGCCTGCTCTGGATTCTCTCTCTCTCTCCTTCTCTCTAGGCCCTGTCCCTGCTCTCTTTTCTCTCTCAAAATAAACATTTAAAAAAATTATGCTGTAACCTGATACTAATACCATGTTATATGTCAACTAGATCCCAATAAAAAAATAATTTTTATGTTGATTACATTTGGAAATAATATTTTGCATAGACTGGGTTTGACAAGATATTATTAAAATTTTTAACTTCATTTGTGTCTTTTTAAAAAAATGTTTTTAACGTTTATTCATTTTTGAGAGACAGAAAGAGACAGAGCGTGAGCAGGGAGAAGGAGGGAGGGAGACACAGAACCTGAAGCAGCTCCAGGCTCTGAGCTGTCAGCACAGAGCCTGACACGGAGCTCAAACTCACAAACCATGAGATCAGGATCCGAGCTGAAGTTGGACGCTTAACTGACTGAGCCACCCAGGCGTCCCTGTCTTTTATTAATGTGACAAGTCATATAATATTCCTTTTTTTTTTTAAGTTTATTTATTTTGAGACAGAGAGTGAGTGTGTGCACATGAGTTGGGGAGGGGCAGAGAGAGAGGGAGACAGAGAATCCCAAGCAGGCTCCACACTGTCAGCACAGAGGCCAACGTGGAGCTTGATTTCATGAACCATGAGATCATGACCTAAGCTGAAAGCAATAATTAGTCACTTAATGCACTGAGCCACTTAGGCGCCCCACCACATAATATTTCCTTTTTTTTTTTTAAGTGTTTATTTATTTTGAGAGAGAGAGAGAGAATGAACAGGAGAGGGTCAGAAAGAGAAGAAGAGAGAATCTAAGCAGGCTCCTTGCTGTCAGCACAGAGTCCAATATGGGGCTCAAACTCAAGAACTATGAAATCATGACCTGAGCCGAAATCAAGAATCAGTCGCGTAACCAACTGAGCCACCCAGGCTCAGTTTATATTCAATAAATGTATTTGTTGAAAGAGTAAATGAATGACATATGCTGTTAACATTACAGACAACCGTATCTGCACAGCCACCACTTTCTAAGCCTGTTTGTATCTTTCCTGTCTTCCCAGTTACCCACCCGCCGCCTGAGATGAGGATCCAGCCTGCCTTGTCTCTGCACTGCTTACGTCACCTAGGAGGGCACTTTGCACGCTGTGGTCCATCAACGGGGTTGCAGACTGAGTAACCAGATAGAAAGGACACGTTAAGACTGTGGCCTGAGTCTGCGTGATGAGCAGAACTGACGGATTCGGGGGTGGGGGGCAGGTGCTCAGGGGAAGAGTTGGTGGAAGATGAGGTGCATGCTTTATGGAGCCTGTGAGAGAGAGAGAGAGAGAGAGGGAGAGAAGTAGGGGGAGGCAGAGAAGGGAGGGAGGAATGAACATACTGATAAGACCAAGAACATGCTGAGATTTTTGTGGAAATAACACCTTGAAGAGCCTTTGAGACTCAAGAAGACAAAACAAAAAGCCAGAGAAGTCTCTCTTGATGCCAAGAATACAAAGCAAAGGGGACAAGGGGCGGAGATGGGGAAAGAATTGTGTCCTCTGATTTAGGAGCGATCATCCTCTGTATTTACAAACAAGCCTCAGCTCTGAGCGCGCTGGGGTTTACTTCCTGGCTGACTGCGTTCCAGAAGTAACAAGTGCAGCTGGCTGGGAATTCCACCGGACTCCAGGCCTAGTGGCCGCCAATGGCTCCCAAGGGTGTCCCCCAGCCCAGCCGCTGCAGAATTCAAACGTCAAGGGTGGGAACGCAGGGCCCGGGACTTCTGTGTGACCCGGGCTAAGCCCCTGGCCCCTGTTAATAAGAGGCAGCCACATGAGAGGATTCCAAAATCCTACCCGACTCTCTAAAAGAGATGGGGGGTGGGGTCCCCAGTATCAGCCCACGAACACCTCACTGACAGCCTATCCAGGCCTCAAGACAACAGTTAACACTTGTAAGGCCCTCACAGCGGGCCAGGCTCGGTCCCAAACACTTTATGTAAGTTAACCAACCCCTTCAATTCTCACCACAACCCTATGAGACGAGTGCTATTATCCCCATTGTACAGCTGAGGAAACTGAGGCACAGAGAGGCGAGGTGACTGGCCTAAGATCCCACAGTGGCAGGGTTTGAAACCAGGCTGACTGGCTCCAAAGTCCCTGGGAACTTGACGTTAATTACAGGACTGGGGCATTTCCCAGCTCCCAGCGTGATCTTGGAAACGTTGCCTAACCCTTGAGAGCTTGAGTTTCCTTCCTGACCTCAGGGCATAGGGAGCTATTAGGACAAACACTGTCAAACCTCCCAAACACCAGTGCTCAGAGCCACTGGCAGCTCTGCCCCCAGGTTAAGACTACAGACGCAGCCGGGGCTATTTTCCTTGAAACACAATAGGTTAAGGCCTGCCAGGGAGGTTCAGAGACGCCAAGTACATTTCCTGAGGCCACACAGCAAGCCAGAGCCCCCTCAGGCACCCAGATGGCTCCTAGGAAAGGCGTTTCCTCCTATTCTCTATCCAGAGCGTCTGACAGAAGCTTCCCTGGGTTGAGGTTGGGGCAGGAAACCACACATCTCCCACTTCCTTTTCCCCAGGCACCTTGTCTAGACTTCCAGCCCAGCAGGCAGGCCCTGATTCTCGCCCTCCGCACGGAGGGATCCTTGGTCACAGGGCTTAGCTTAAAGCTGCCCTAAATCATGTCCTTTCCCCAAATCAAACAGGGTGGGGAAGAGGCAGCAGAGTTACCTCCACTGGGGCTGGGACTGTCTCAGCACTAATTTGGGACAAGTTCCCCCACTCCTCCCCCCGCCTCAATTTTCTTCATTTGTAAAATGATGATAATCCCTGCCTCAGAGAGTTCTGTGAAGATTAAGGGTAAAGTCAAGGAGGGGAAAGCACTTCCGTTTAATAAATTAGACGGAATCCTGGGAACAATTTGCAAATAGAAACCCATAGTCTGGGGGGTTGGTGAGCTGAGTGGCTGGAGGTCACATCCCCTTTGCTCTGGAGGGGTTCTGGGGTGAGAAGAAGGGGGCTGGCCACATATCTTCTTGAGTCACACTGAGGGCAGAGGGCTTATTTCATTTCTGGAAAATAATATTATCTAAGCACTTTAGATATATCACACTTAATTCTTATAAGCTGGGTCTTATTACTATCCCCATTTGACATGCGAGGAACTAAAGCACAGAGAGGTTAAGTAACTTTCCCAAGGTCACACAGCTATTAAATGGTAAAGGTGGGACTGGAACTCAGGGCTGGCTCCAAAGGGCTGCTCTTAATCTCTGAGGCTGGTATAGGCCAGGTGGCGCTGGCTGGACAAAAAAGAGCCAGGGGCCTCCCTCCCTCCCTCCCTCTCTCATCCAGGGAGAGTCTCTCCTAGTCTGGTCCCTGAATACACAAACGTGCGCGCCTACAGCTGCGGGATGCTGTCCCAGCGGCCCCATTCCCCGGATGGGCAGACTGGGGCCGCTGCCCACCTTCTGGTGCTTGCGCTCCTTCTCGATGCGGTCCATCCTCTCCAGGCGCAGACGGTCCAGCTCCAGGCGCAGCTCGTCCAGCTCCGGCGCGACGTGGTGCCGGCTGACCAGCACCTCCAGGATCTCCAGGACACGCACGACCTTGGGCATGAGGCGCGCGATGGCCTCGCAGCCGTGCTGGTCGATGACCCGCTCGAACTCGTGGCCCACGAGCGACGCGATGTCGTACACGTCCATGACGGTCAGCTCCGCCACGTTCTTCTCCAGCGCCGACTCGGCCGCCAGCGCCGACCCCCGCTCCTCCTCCATGGCCCCCCGCCCGGCCTCGCCCCCACCCCGCAAACTAGTGCAACTCCCAAACTTGCCGCTGTCGAGGGCAGCGCCGGGCCGGGCCCCCCTCGCGCCGCCGCGGGCGGTGCGCGCTCAGCGGGCCCTCGGGCGAGGGCGCACCGGGCGGCCGGCGGGCGCTCGCGCGGGCGGGGGCGGCGGACCGCGAGCCCGAGGGCGGCGCGCGGGGGGCGAGTCTCGGCGCGCGGCTCGGCCCGGAGCCTGCGCCCCGGCGGGAGGCGGCGGCGGCGGCGGGGAAGGCGCGCGTGCGCAGGCCCGCGGCGCCTCCCAAGTTGGGAATCCGAGTTGGGCGCAATGGAGGCGCGGGGTCTAGCTGGAGCGGGGGCCCGGTCGCCCTCGGAAACAGTTCCCGCCCGAGGGTCGCCCCCACGCCCGGGGCCGGGGAAGGGAGGGCGGCGGCGGCTCCTCCGGGAAACTTTGGTGGCGGCGAGACCCGGTGACCGGCTCCCCGCCCCCCCCCCCCGCGGGGATGCCGCGCGCCCCGCCCCGATCCCGGCCTGGCGAGGGGCGCGCCCGGCTTCCGCCGCCCGAGGGCGCCCGGGTGTCCGCGGGCCCGGTTCCGCGACCCCCCGACTAGGCAGCGCCCCCGCCCCCGCGGGACCTTCCTCCCCCGCGCCCCCCGAGCGTCCGGGCGCGCCGCCCCCTCCTCCGGCCCGGGCCTGGCTCCTCCTCTCCCAGTGCCGCCGGGGAGGGGTCGAGGCTCGCCCGGAGGAGAGGGGGCGGGGGCGGCGGGGACGCCTGTCTGGGGACGAGTCGCCGCGCCGGGCGGGGAACGGAGGGGTCGCGAGGCGGATTCCGGGATGGGGCGCATCGTGGGGAGGGAGCGGGGACCATCCCCACCCCCGCAGACCCGGTTACAGGCGGACCTGGCGGCGCCGGGCCCTGCGCTCCCGCACAGGCGCCCGAGGGGGGGGGGGCGAAGGAAGGGTGGAGGGGTCCCCTGCCCCCGAAGCCGCCCGGCTGCCCCGCCCGCAGAGCCAGGTCCATTAGCCGTTCCTCGTGACCTCAACACCGCTTCACAGAGGAGGTGACGCCGGGGTTTGGATCTCAGCACCGCGGGGTTTTCTTGTCCAAGCCCCCTGTCCTTTTTGACCTGGCTAAATCCCCTGGTCCCTCGGACACCCCGCCCCCGGCCCTCGCATTCTTCCCGTCCGCCCCGCGTGGCTTAGGGACCCTCCTCTGCATGCCCACAGCCCGCTGCCTTCTGTACGATTGCTCCGCACATGCTGAGTTTTAACCGTGTGGTTACACATACGCCTCCCTCAGGAGACTGTGAGCTCCTAGGAGGCATTTACATTAAAAAAAAAAAAAAAAAAAGCAAACCATTTTAACACCCTTATAGCCCTTAAAGTCTAAAACCCACACCAAACCACCAAACTGGCACATTATTTATTAAAAATCTTTTTTAAGTTGAAAGTGCACTGGACACCAGCTTTAAATTTTAAGGGCTTTAGGAATAAATATTCTATCACCCCATTTAATCCATACTCCATGGGGTTCTCAGAGTGCGGCCTGATGACCACCGGGGCTCTCCAGTAGCCAGCGGGTCTCCGGGAGGTTGTCCCTTTTGCCAGTTTTCTATCACTGTGAGGCACGATGTTTCTTGGTATATTTAACACAAAACAGCGCATCACAATTGATTGAACATGCAGAAGCAGATGTGAGGATCTGGCTCTCTTATAATCAGCTAGATATTAAGGAGATTTACAAAAATACAAAGCAGTGTCACTGCTCTCAGTATTTTTTTGTTTTGGAGCATAGTTCTTTTTTATTAAAAATATATATGTTAAGGGGATCCCGGGTGGCTCAGTGGGTTAAGTGTCCCACCTGGACTCAGGACGTGATCTCACGGTTTGTAGGTTCAGGCCCCGCGTCGGGCTCTGTGCTGACAGCTCAGAGCCAGGAGCCTGCTTTGGATTCTGTGTCTCCTTCTCTCTCTGCCCCTCCCCCGTTTGCACTCTCTCTGTCTCTTTCAAAAATAAATAGACGTTGAAAAGAATGTATGCATGTTAAAATATAATGCATCTGCTTTTGAATTCATCAATATTTGTAAAAACATCAGTTTAAATTTCCAATTACAGTAGCTGTGCACAGATATAACCCATGTAATGAAATCTCTTTAGGGTCTTCAGTAGTTTTTAAGAGTGCCCTTGGAAAAGGGTCTCTGAGACCAGAAAGTTTGAGAACTGCTTCCTCACAGCATCCTAGGAAGTATTCATTATCCTTATTTTTACAAATGAGGAAACGGGGGCACAGAGAAGTCCAATAATTTGCCCAAGGCCCAGCAGCTGGTAGGTGCTCAAACCAGAGGTCAGATCTGTGCGCAGCAAGCCAGTGAGGTGGACATGTGATTATCCCCATCCGAAATCAAGGACAGTGAGAAACAGGGAGTGGCATTAGCTTCTTGTAGCTGATGTAACAAATTGCCACAAACTTGGTAGCTTAAAACAATAGAAACTTATTCTCTGATAGTTCTGGAGGCCAGATGTCTGAAGTCAAGGTGTTGGCAGCATCATGCTCACTCTGAAGGCTCTCCGGAGGACCCTCTCTTGTCTCTCCAGCCTCTGGGATCCTTAGTTTGTAGCCACGTCCCTCCGGACTCTGCCTCTGTCTTCACGTGGTGGGTCCATGCGTGTCTCTCTTCTCTTCTGTGTTTCTTAAAAGAATACCTGTCATTGGATTTAGAGCCCAGCGGCACAGTCCAGGATGAGCTAATCTCAAGATTCTTTATTCAAAATAAGGTCTCCACTTTCAGGATCGGGACATGGAAGTGTCTTCTGGGGCAGGATGGCAGCATTCAACCCACTTCCTTAAGGTCCCACAGCTGGGAGGGATGGAGCCAAACCCAGTGGGTGCCCATGTTGAAGGAAGGAATAAATAATGAATGCCCAGATTGCGGCAGTTTTCCCCTCAAGGAAGCAAAGATGTACTGAGAGTCAACTGGGAGGGAACCAGGATCGAAGAACTGGGGGGAAAGCCTGGGGGGGCTCGGTCGGTTAAGTGACTGACTTCGGCTCAGGTCATGATCTTGTGGTTCGTGGGCTCAAGCCTCGGGCCGGGCCCTGTGCTGACAGCTCGGAGCCTGGAGCCTGCTTGGGATTCTGTGTCTCCCTCTCTCTCTGCCCCTCCCCCACTTGCAGTCTGTCTCTCTCAAAAATAAATAAACGTTAAAAAAAATAAAAAAAGAAGAAGAACGGGAGGGCCAGCCTGCAGCCTGAACTTAAGATCGAAGCAGGAAAGGAGTGGGGAGGGAGGAGGGGAAGCAGAAGTCAGAGATGACCCCAAATGATGAGCCTGAGTGCTTAGTAGAATGGCTACAGTTTTAAGCAAGGAGAGGCAGTCAAGCCTGGTGGTTAAGCTTCCAGAGCCTCTCTGCATTTTAATCCTGGTGTAGGTGCTGACCAGGTGTCTGGCTTCTGGGGCCTCAGCTTCCCACTCTGTGAAATGGGATTACGGAGGGTAATTATGATCGTTAAACAAATCAACATATGTGCTGGCCTCCCCCAGTGCCTCTAAGCTTCTAGCATCATCACCATCATCATTAAAGGTATCTGGAGGAGATGTCTAGTCTGAGTGTAGATAGAGATGTCTAGCTGACAGCTGGAAATGGAGACCTGAAACTCAGGACCAGAGCGGTGATAAGAGCTATATTGACATTCATTTATTCAATAGGTATTTAGCTCTTAATGTATGCCAGGGACTATGCTAACTCTGTGAGATGTGATGATATGAGAGAGACAGGATTGCTGCTCTTGTAGGAAACAGATAGGAAACATGTGAAACCAAAAATAAACTAATTTCAGATGGAGCAAGAGACGGTTGAAAAAGGGGAGGAGAATCAAGAAATCAGTGTGTCCCAGAAACTAGGTGTGTTAGCACAATTTGATTCGAAAAAGAGCCCCACACACTGTATTTTTCAGCTATGAATATTTTATAACAACTCTCTTTTTAAAATTTTAGTGTTTATTTTTTGAGAGAGGGAGAGCCAGTGTGTGAGCGGAGGAGGGGCAGAGAGAGACACACACACACAGAATCCAGAGCAGGCTCGATACTCCGAGATGTCAGCACAGAGCCTGTTGCAGGGCTCGAACTCATGAACTGCGAGATCATGACGAGAGCTGAAGTCAGACACTTAACCAACTGAGCCACCCAGGCGCCCCATAATAGCTTTTCTTTAATGCCTATTTATTTATTTTTGAGAGAGAAAGAGAGAGTGGGGGAGGGGCATACGAGGGGTAGAGAGACTCCCAAGCTTCTCTGAGCCATCAATGCAGAGCCCAGTGTGGGGCTCGATCTCACCAACCGTGGGATCATGACCTGAGGTGAAACCAAGAGTTGGACACTTAAACAGTTGAGCCATGCAGGCGCCCCTCAACTATGAATATTTTATTTTATTTTTTAATATTTTTATTTATTTCTAGGAGAGAGAGAGACAGCGTGAGCAGGGGAGGGTCAGAGAGAGAGGGAGACACAGACTGTGAAACAGGCTCCAGGCTCTGAGCTGGCAGTCAGCACAGAGCCCGACGCGGGGCTCGAACCCACAAACCGCGAGATCATGACCTGAGCGAAAGTCGGACGCTTAACCGACTAAGCCACCCAGGCGCCCCTGAAATTTATTTCTTGATGAAACAGGATTGTCTGTCATCCAAATAGACATGCTGTGTGGATTTTGCTACTTTCACCACCATAAAATCCTTTAACATGTGTGTTCCTGATTCTTTAAAATTTTTTTTTTTAATGTTTTATTTATTTCTAGGAGAGAGAGAGAGACAACGTGAGCAGGGGAGGGTCAGAGAGAGAGGGAGTCACAGACTGAAACAGGCTCCAGGCTCTGAGCTGGCAGTCAGCACAGAGCCCGACGCGGGGCTCGAACCCACAAACCGTGAGATCATGACCGAAGCGAAAGTCGGACGCTTAACCGACTAAGCCACCCAGGCGCCCCGTGTTCCTGATTCTTTAGACTGGTAGTTGGATCAACAGGTTTGATCTGATTTGGGTTCAATTTATTCACTAGTGGTGTGTTGCGCATTTCTTTTTGCTTTTTCGTGGAAGGGGCAAGATTCATT